TGATCAAACGAAACATCTGTCTAAACCTAACAAAATTCTATAATAAACGACAAAGCTATAGCTTAAGCTATAAATTTATAAATCATTGCAAATTAACGTCATTATAGGCATTTTAGAATGTCGACGTTCACGTCGACGTCATTTGGACGTTCACATAGTTTGTAGGGTAATAAACATGAACATGATCATAAGGAGCGTATAGCTGGCCCCATCCGCATCGTCTCTTTCTGGCCCCGCAAGTGGGGTTCGTAAGCGACATGCCGATGGTTTTAGTGACTCCCCGTTTACGCTTAGAGGGCTAGGGAAGCTGGGAACTAGGAGGGTAGTCCTTTTGCTTTTCAGGGGACAATAACGCCGACACAAACTAAGGTACCACTCGGAATCCCCCTAGACAGGGGCGTTTGGTAACACTGCTGTACTGCTTCTTGTTCCGGTATTTGTTAGCTGGCTTCAAGAAAGATTCACCCATTGTTTACCAAGCTGAGAAGTTAGGAAGCAGATATGCGCAAATTATTTACCCCACAGCGAAACCTTTACTACGAAATATTGCCGTTCATGTCGAGCTGTTCAAAATAAGCAGCTGAGCTTTAAGGAAGATTCAGCTGCTCCTTTCCTGTATAGCCTTCAAAGTAAATTTAGCCCTATTCAGCCGGTCGTTATTATACTAAGCTAAAAATGTAGGAAACATAATATATTATATTTATACACAAATTATTTTACCCCATTGTGCGAAGATCATTAATGTGTCGTTGAGACTTTCAGTTTAGCATATCTTCAATCAACTCAAGGCGACTGTTGTCTTTGTCTTTGATTATTATTTTTAAAACGTCATACGTTCTTTTCGCCTGAGATTTCAGTTAATCTCAGCTCACATGTGCGCGTTCTTTTTGCTTCACTCACCATAAAGTGAGCTGTGATTTTTCCTCCCCCCTTACCGATACTGCACATGCTGTGCGGGGGAATCAGTTTGAATTAAGTCGGAAATAAAGTGGAGGGGATAAAGAAATGATTGATTTGTTAAGTTTTTAAATGACATAAGCACCCGGACAAAAATCGGGATTTCCTGGTGAAATCATGATGATATCACAACGTGATTTTTTTATCACGCTGTGATATCCTGAGTGCATACACATGCTTCATCACAGTGATGAAAAGAGTCGGATCTTAATTAGGATCCCGAATCTTTGTAATAATGTCCCACTAGCGGAGCGCAGCCTCACGCTCCAGTTAAGGCTTGGAAACTAGTGGGTAGTTGAGTAAAACACAATAGTCTTGTTAATACTGACTTTAATTATAAAATTGTTTCCTTATATACAAATGGGATATTTTATTTTACATACTTATTTTACAAACATCTTAATGTTAGAAGGTTGTATTTTGTTATGTTATTGCTGACGCGGTTTGTTCGCTTAGATGACCGAAGTAGGTCAATTAAATAATTATTGTTTAATTTTAAGATTAAACAGTGATATCATGAAGAACTCACGGTGTGATATTTGCGAATATTTTCTTGGATTTAAATTAACTATAAATAGTTAATTTAAATCCAAGAAAATATTGAATGTTAAACTGTTGATTCAATTGTTAACATACTTTTTATTTCAATGTACAAATGTTTCGCAAAAATGAATATCCAAACACCGATGGCATAAAAAATCATGTCGTGATTTTTTATGACCAAACACCGATGGCATAAAAAATCATTTTGTGATATTTTATGCCATCGGTGTTTGGATATTTATTTTTGCGCCACATTCGTACATTGAGAGAAAAAGTATACCTACATATCGATGACTTTCTGCCAAAGTATCGCAAGCAACATAACTCAAATTTCGGTAATTGAAATTTTGTTTTGTTTTAAAGTCTGTTTTAAACCATATATAACCTATAGGTTTTATAACAAGTAAATAGCTATAATTACCTATAAGCTATTTAATTGTTATTAAACCTTTGGGCTATATTTAATTTAAAACAGACTTTAAAAGAAAAAATGTTTTCAATTCCCGAAATTTGATTTATGTTGCTTGCGATACTTTGGCAGAAAGTCATCGATATATGGATATTAAATTAACAGTTTTTGTGATTAAATACATTCAATTTTTAAATTAATAGTTAATTTACATCCAAGAAAATATTAAATGTATTTAACCGCAAAAACTGTTAATTCAATTGTTAACATACTTTTTCTTTGAATGTACGAATGTGGCGCAAAAATAAATATCCAAACATGTCGGTGCACCGATGGCATAAAAAATCATGTCGTGATTTATTATGCCCAAACACCGATAGCATAAAAAATCATGTCGTGATTTTTTATGCCATCGGTGTTTGGATATTTATTTTTGCGCCCCATTCGCAGAGAAAAAGTATACCCACATATATATCGAATCAACAGTTTTTGTGGTTAAATACATTCAATATTTTCTTGGATTTAAATTAACTATATATAGTTAATTTAAATCCAAGGAAATATTTAATGTATTTCACCGCAAAAACTGTTGATTCAACATAATTTTTCTCTTAGCAAAAATGATTATCCAAACACCGTTGGCATAAAAAATCACGACATGATTTTTTAGGCCATCGGTCAATCGCAAACAGCGATGGCATAAAAAATCACGTCATGATTTTCATTTATTACGCAGTGACATCCGGATGATGTCCGTATGAATAAAATTTGTGAAAATCACGACGTGACGTTCGTATGATTTTCATTTATCACGCGGTGACTTCCGTATGATATCAGTATGAATAAAATTTGTGAAAATCACGACATGATGTTCGTATGAATATCACGAATGTTGTCCGGGCAGTAGATAAATGATTCAAGGGATAAGTTAAACTCAGACTTTCTTAAATGAGACCCTTGATCAGTAAAGAAAATTAAAAAATATAATGTGCTGGCCAAATAGTGTTTAAGTACGCTGAGGCCATTAAATCTAAAGAAGAAGAAGAAATAACATAACCTAATCTTATTTAGGTGTTTTTTTTGCAATAAAACTTAATATAATAAATAAAATTCGTATAAAATTGTTTTTCAGAGCTAGAAAAACACTTTTTACAATAAAATTAAACAAAACATGTCAAAGTAAAATATTTTTTTTAATTTTTATTTTATCACCTTCATCGACTTCATCAAATAAAACCTTTATTATTATTATTGTATTATCCATAATTCAACGCAAATTTAAACATAGAAAACCACGACATTTAAACCAATAAGGATATGACATAGAACATGATATCAGAGCAACATAACCTATGCCTCTTATTCATTAAAATTACTCACATCACTACATCTCATATCACATTAACTGAAGTGAGCTGAGATCTCAGGCGAAAAGAACGCACCTATGGTTTCTAGGGTAATGTTGAAAATATTATTTGTAATAATATAATAATAATATAATAATATATATATTATATATTATAATGGTATAATGGTATTATAATTATAATTATAATTGCAATATAAATACTAAGGTGTTCCAGAAACACTGTTCCTTAAAAAAATTTTTTTGGAGCACCTCTCAAAATGGTCCCAAATGACGCACATATTAATAATCTGTCCAAATTTTTTGATTGATATTAACAGGTGCCTATAACCAATGTTTGCTGTAATACATGTACCAGTGGCGGCCCGTTTCGCCCTCATTTAAAGGCGAAGAAATTTATTTAAACCCAACTTAAAAAAACTGACGTCGCAGTTCACAACCTATACTTAAAACTAAGTAAAAAACTTAGTCTGTGGTGGGGAAGAAATCCTCTACTTTGTCAATGAAATATACTTTATTGTAAAAATGACGTTTATTTTAAATGAGTAAAGAGTTAAATATTTAAATTATACTTAATGTTTTAATTCTTTATGATGAGGCACTGCCTCACCTGCCTCCCCTGACGGACCGCCACTGACATGTACTACATGTACTATGCTCCACACCTCAAAGTCCCACCACGTGACCACGTACGGAACGCAGTCTTTTGAAAATTTGGCATTTAAGGCTTTTCAGGTTATATATCTGTCAATGAAAGAAATAATATTTATAGTGTTACCGCTTATGTTTAAGCGTTAAAAGTTAATAAATCTTTATAGTATCACAATAACAATGGTTGGTTTAAGAATTTAGGAATATAAATACTGCATTTAATGAAATTCCAAAGTGTAAGGTGCAATATACAAGACATAATATGTCTTGTTCGATGTTTTTTTTCTTTATACAACAAGCTGCCTGGGCAATTAAAATTGTGATCACTGCACTAATATATATATTTATATATAAATGTTTATCTTTTATATTTACACACAATGGGTAAAACGCAGAATATAAACAAAAACAAATGTCAACCATTTTAGGTGTGATCGCGCATAATTACGGAATTTTACACGGAAATCTATAAATTGCCTTTTTACAAGACGCACAAATCGTACGGGCACGACTACGGGAGGAAGGAAGGAAGGCAAGCTATAATTCAGGCTTAAGACGAAATTTCCTTTACCATTTTTTTTTCGAATTCGAAAAATTGCAGGATTAAATAATAAAATTAATATTGATGATCAAATCAAATGTCATTTGAATGTAGGAAGTGTCTACTTAGGTATACTGTTAGTTGCGACGTTAATGATATATTAGCCCGCCGCAGTGATTTTTTAATCTAATTAATAAAATTAACTTATTATTTTTATTAAACAACATTTTATGAACGGGTCGAATCGGCCTCCGCGACGGTGCATTTTTAAAAATATTATTTAGTTGCTGCTAATTAGCAGTAGATACATCTTAAAATGTATAATAGGTTGCATACAATACTCTATTAAATCGGCAGTAAAGTTCTATTTTACTGCCGATTGTTGACTACTTTACTGCCGATTTCGGATAAAAAAATTAATTTTAAACCTAAAACTAAACTAATCTATATATCAGAAAAAAATTGTATTGTATTATTTTTTATACTTAAAATAACACCCTCTACGTGTTAACAGCTATTTAGGTTAAATATAAAGCATTTTAATAAAGATTTATTACATTGTGTTAATATAAAGAGACATTTTTTATTTGATTGAACATTTTAATTTATGGTTTTCTGTAAAAATCCTGGCTTCTAGACTCGGCCAACATCTGTTCGGCTTTTTCCTGATCTGAAATAATATGAGACGACATGACTTTAACTGGGTCTGGAAAGGGTTTTGCCAACTTGGACATCTTCAGTGGTTGAGTGATATTTTTTTTGGTATTGGAGTCCATTAGGTTTCTGTATCTGGTAGCAAGCGTTTCTTCAGTAGATGATTTGTTTTTGCTTTCGGCCTCAGTTCCTCTTACAAGACTTGGGGAAGATTCTGAGTGACTGGAATAGTACTGGGGATGCATGGAGGGTTGAAGATCTTGCAGTTCCAACGACAGTTTCGGCGGTACTTGAGTTCTATGGCCGTCTATTTTGTATACAGTTGCGGTTTTCTCTTGACAGACATTGTACCGCACTTGCATATCGGCATTTTCCGTTTCTATATCCCCGGGTTTTTTAACGGAAACTGCTGCATCGGTTTTAGTCGTCAAAGTTCGAAGCAAAAGCCTTGAAAATAATAATTTGTTTGACGACATTGCCCCTCATATATGCATTCGCTTCATTAATTTGACAAGTGTCAAAATATCAATGGTTACAGAATAGTAAATAAAAAACAAGTCAATTAATAAAAATTATGTTAACATCAACTCAAAAAAAGCATTTTCTGTCCATATAAAAAATAAAATCTCAGCAAATTTAGTTAAATAAATATCATGATCTCAATGACTATAAAATATTTAAAACCCTATTTAGTTTAAAGCAAAGACCCTTCAACCAAAGGTCTCTAATTTAAAGAAGCTTATATTAAACTCTTTAAATTATTACAAATAAAAGTATTTGTATTATAATATAATGTATAATGTTTATTCACGAAATAGTAACTAATAGTAAAATAAGTATGGAATGCCATTATAATTTTTATTATTTAAATTACATTACTTTTCGCGGTTATTCATAAAAGGGGGCGCTATAGAGGGTTGATAGTGTTTAAATTGGTCTCCCTGACGAGTGCTCGTAAAGGTTTTGTGTACAGGAATATGCTCCGCACAAACTTGATAGCGTATGGGGGCTTTTTCTCGCTTTTCTTCGACAGGCGACGAACTTTTACATTTTTTTAGATTCATCATGGACGATTCTTTGGTCGAAACGTTTCTTATGTGTACTAAATATTTTGCCAAGCGCGTTTTATTTCGCAACAGTTTTTCCATATTTAATAAAAGTTGACGTTAAACATACAAAATGACGTAAAAATATAACAAACAGATTTTGTTTTGTTGTAGATTCATAAGTTAATATGGGTTATACCCATTTGGTATAGGTAACATAAAGGTTGGGAAAAAATTAAACGGTGAATTCGTCTGTAAAAAATAATTCAATTAAATAGTTTTTTATATTTTATATTTATATCTATTGATTTTCGTGTTAAATTTTTTATATATTTTTTAATAACTTTTGAAAACTAGAAGATAAGAAATCTAAATTTTGGATATTTTTTTATTTGGCAATGCCTTTTTAATACTTTTAATTCCATGTTCTAAAACTGCCATGGATCATGGCATTATGATCTGTGTATGGCATCGAAAAGGTATGTCAGTGGCGAATTCAGGGGGGTGTTTAGGGGGTTCAATCCCTCCGAAATTAAATAAATTGAAAAATTTCACTTAATTTAGCTAATAGATGCTACTTATAAGTAAGTATACTTATTTAATAAATATGCAAAATATCAATAAAATATACAAGTGGTATAAAAAGTTTTAAATATTTTATCTCCACATTTTTTTTATTCTATTCATCTAAATGAATATCTAGTACACAGACATTTTTTGGTATCGGATAACATTTTAAGGTCGCCCATAATTGAGTCGTATAGATTCAAAACCCGCCAAATCCATTTATTGAAAGTAAAGGACAGTAGATATGTTTGCAATACATATTAATTATGTTGTTATGGAAACATGTCTTCTGTCCTTTACTTTCAATAAATGGATTTGGCGGGTTTTGAATCTATACGACTCAATTGAACGTGTACTACGACTAGAAAAATTAATAATATCAAACACAAATCAAAATCAAAAACTAGGACACAAGGGAGCAGTGGCGGCTGGTGGATTTTGGGTATACCGATATCTCAATTATTAGATATGGGACCCACACCAAATATATATGAGTTTATAATGACGCAAGCAGAACTTAAATTGAAGTTTGCGAAAAGAGATAACTTTTTGCTCGGCCGTACCGGCTCCATAGCGCCGTCAATAAATATAATATAAATTTAATTGGTGCAATTTATAATTTACCATAGTTTATCGACAAATTTCAAATTTCATTTTAAAAAATCCAAATTATACAGATTTTATACCATTTTAAATTTTTAATATTTCCTTTCAAATAATGAATTTAACATCATGTGTAAAAGGTACATTTTCATTATTTATCACAGAGGTTTCATGCAGTACAACAATATTTGGTCTGTTAGTTCTAAACAGCATAAAAATTGACTAATCAGTATTCAAAATCAGTTTATTTTTATTAAACCATTGCATAACACTGTCCAACACTACACTGCTATCTTGAATTAGCCCTTCAAAAGTACCATTATCTATAATAATATTACTAGCATCTCCCTGCTTAAAATACCCCATAGAGACCTATACAAAATATTCTATAGGGCGCTACCGGTTTCAATATGTGCATTTGTCCAAGGTTTTTTCCGGATACAGCCCGATAGAAAATGTATAGGAAATTACCTATAGGCACACCATAACTTTTACATTTTCCCTATTGAGACCGATAGAAAATAACTCAATGAAGGATATATAGGGATATCCCTATAGAACAACCATAAAACATTTGACAAAATTTTATTAAAACCTATGGGGTCCTATAGGGAAAAAACTAATTTCTACATTTATGTGTATTTTCCCCATTGAAACCGATAGCAAATAAATTAATGGTGGATATCCCTATAGAACAACCATAAATCTCAACTATGGGTCCTATAAATAAAAAAATATAAAATATATATCAGCATGTGTGAGTTCTCCATAAGGGAATCCCTTAAGTCATTAATATATATAATAAATAACAGAGGGCCTAAAATGCTTCCTTGTGGTATTCCTGTATACAAATATCTACAAGTTGAGGAAAACACTTGTCCATCCTTTTCCACCACAACTTTTTGACTTCTTCCTGAGAAATATGATCTTATCCACTGCAGTGGGATCCCTCTAACGCCATAAATTTCCAGCTTGTTTATTAAAATTTCATAATTCAGTGCCATAAGCTTTTGAGAGGTCCAAAAACATACCAAGTGATAAAAATGTGTTATTATTGACTATTTTTTGTAGAAAATCAAAAACTGCAGTTTCAATTGATCTACATCTCAGAAATCCATGCTGTGTTTGGTTAAAAAGTGAAAAAGCATTAAAAAAATTAGATATTTTTTCACACATAACTGACTCCAAGACTTTGGAAAGGGTTGGAAGCAAGCTGATAGGTCTGTAGTTCTCTATCAGTGTAGGGTCATTATTTTTATACAATGGTCTAACAATTGCGATCTTTAAATGATCAGGGAAAATACCAGCACTCAATTCACTAGATAACACAAAATATCAGAAATTTCATAAACAATAAACTTTATCACAGTTGCTGGAATTTTATCATACCCACTATAGAAGTTTTGTTTTTTAACTTATTTATAATACTGACAATATCTTTAACACATAGGATTTAAAAATAAAGAACTCACATTATTCAGAATTTCCATGGGAAATCTATGTTTGGCAGTCTAGATACCAATCTGGGAGCCGCACTGACAATATATTCATTAATCTGTTCGACAATATCTTCTGTATTACTTGGAATTGTACCCTTAACTTCCCTCACAATATTCCAAGTGGTTTTTGTTTTATTTTCCGAGCGCTGCAGCTTATTTTGATAATATTATTAATTAATATTAATATTAACATTAACATTAATATTAATATTAATATTAATTAATAATATTAATATTAATGAGTATGAGTATGAGTATGGGAACGTATGGCAGGCCCCAGATATATTGTCATCCACTGATCTCCCGGGGTTATATTACCCCCTTTCCGTTCTCCTGCGTATCCCGCCAAATCACAGCATTACCTGTGTTTGTTGGATCCGAAGTTTTTACGCCGGCTGGTAGATCCACCCTAGGAGTTCGTGGATGACAGTGTCAAAGGTTAAGGCCGCTCCCGGGATTTTTGTCAGCCGGGTCGGGCCATACGTCCAGTTAAGGAAGGGTTTTTGGAGGACATTGAACTGACCCAAAACTAAGTACAATCCGGAATCCTCCTAAACCAGGGCTTTAGTAATAACCCCATTCATTTGGTATTCCTGAATGGGGGTGGGTGGATTAGTATGCTGCTAGCGCCTTTCCTTGTTGGTGTACTTCCTGATAGCCGCTTTAGAATTGTTTGCCCCCCTGTGCGTTATTGAGTCTTATCTTCCGAACCGAAGTATTGCCGGCCGCACCCCGCCGTAATATTGCCCTCTGACTATGTGAAAATACGTTTAACCTACTGGAGTCGACCCTCGAATTATTTTTTTTCCCACTGTGCGTGATCCCAGTGATTCTTAGAACGATTTTTACTTAATTTATGAACCCTTACGTCTTGGTAATCTATAGATGTAAACATATGAGTATGAGTATGAGTATGGGAACGTATGGCAGGCCCCAGATATATTATCATCCACTGATCTCCCGGGGTTATTTTACCCCCTTTCCGTTCTCCTGCGTATCCCGCCAAATCACAGCATTACCTGTGTTTGTTGGATCCGAAGTTTTTACGCCGGCTGGTAGATCCACCCTAGGAGTTCGTGGATGACAGTGTCAAAGGTTAAGGCCGCTCCCGGGATTTTTGTCAGCCGGGTCGGGCCATACGTCCAGTTAAGGAAGGGTTTTTGGAGGACATTGAACTGACCCAAAACTAAGTACAATCCGGAATCCTCCTGAACCTAGGCCTTAGTAGTACCCCCATTCAATTGGTATTCGTGAATGGGGGGTGGGTATGTTAGTTATTTGCTTACTCCTATCTTTGTTGGTTTACTTCCGGTTCGTCAGTTTCTGTGTCCGTCTCCGGGTCGGCATGTGCCCAGTATTTTAGTTGTGCCACCCTGACACGTTTGGTGATTGTTTTTCCTTCTAGGAGGACTCTGGGCGATATCTTGTCAGTACACGGAGAGAAAAATTTTCCCAAAATAACCATCCAAAGCACCGTCAAACGACGCATCGCGAAATCAGTCACTGTCCCCCTAAACCGCGGATCTGTATGGCTAAATTAGCTATACAGATCCTCAGCCCAATAAAACAGCTGACCAAACCCACGATACGTCATCCAACAATACCCCGGATAGCCATTTCGGCAAAATTCCCCTCTCCTTGTACGCCCCTGTTCGTGATGTATTTCGATTCCGACGTTAAATATGTCCGATGCTGATATTGTTTCCAAACCCAGCCAGAAGCCGTTTTGTGCGTGGTCCTTTAGGTACGCCTCTGTTTTACGTTCCCAGTTGTATTATGCGC